TCATGATCTGGGCCAAGTGACATCGCAGATGCAGGGTTTGTGCAGGTCCTTAGGGCCTGCTGTTTGCAAACTGTATAGACATTGGTGACGTGTTATGGCGTGTCACCATCTCTTTGTGTTTGCAAAGTTGCTCGAGCTGTCAGCTGCATGGATTATCCACAGCTTCATGTTTATGTCCAAGGAAGAGCGCTAGTGAGGCTTTGACTTTCATCCCTGCCAATAGTGTTTGCCTTTGGTGCTCGTGAATTCTTTCTGCTTTGACTTCCAGTCTTGTGTTTTTTGATCTCGGACTTGCAAAACTCTGCTCCGAGTCACGGCGTTGCCATGCTGCCAGGGCTTCTTCCGTTTGCCCCGCTTGGCGGCAGAGGCGGCGCAGAGCCCACAGACCAAGGTCCGGTTGCTCCGGTGTGTTCGGTGTCCGAAGCGATGGACGGGAGCCGAAGGGATCAGAGGTGTTCACACGGATTTGGAGGTCGTCGACTCCGGTGGTGTTTCGTTGACTGCAACGGTTTCTATGGCACCGCCGCATGTTCTGCTGCAGAGAAACCGCGAAGACCGAGCAGGGGTCCAAAGTTGACCCATGGGTGAGAAACGAGCACTTGACACCTCCTGTATCATTGTCGCCAAGGGTTTTTTGTATCAATGTGGTCCACAGTCTGGAAGTCAATGCCAACCCAGATTCAACGATGAAATTGTTTATATAGATGGACTTACAGTACACTGTCATAATTTCATAATGCCAATTGTCTCGCAAATTCAGCAACGTCGACTCCAAGAAGCAGTATACCCTGGCAACAGCGAGCAAGCGCCCTTTTTTGTTCCTTGCGATGGACCTGCTTCAGTGAGATGCAGAGGCCGCTCGGCGTGTGAGCTTTGTAATTACATCAGTGTTCTTTTTTCTTTTTGAAAGCGTCGCGTTGGAAAGGCTCCTTTTTGTGCCAAGAGTTGTCCACCACTCCGGATTTGGTAGCCAGAAGTTCCGCAACTTCCTTTTAACTCAACTGAGTATTCTTGTACCTGACGTTCGAAACAAATGTAATTATTATTCAAGGGCACTGGCGACAAGTGTGAGCAGACAAAGACAAGTTTCACCAAATCTCTTGTCCGAGGACGTCGCGATCCTTGAGGAATGAGGCGCAGGGCAATGAAGGGGAGGTGCACTTCACTGAAACAACTGCCAATGTGTTGCAGTCATCCACTTTTATGCTGCCACGAGTTTGGACCAGTGTTGCATACACATACCAATTGCCAATGGTCACGGATGGCCAGCCAGTCGCATGGCCAGCCGCATGGCCAGCCGCATGGCCAGGACGGCACAGCCAGGTCTTTGCCGTTTTGCTTTCAGTGCAGATGTAGGGTCTCTGCTGCTGGAGCCTTAGTGAGACTTAGAGACAAAGTCCTTCTGAAGTGGTCTGGTGGGAGACCAATCTGTGTGTCTCCTCGCCCAAGTTGAGAACGTGAGGCGTTGTCGCGCGGATTGCCTACTGCCTCGGTCACTGGCAGAGGATGAGTGGAGCTATCAGGGAAACATATTCATTTGCATGGTATGCCGCATGCCTGCTTTTGGCAGTCCTCACAATATGACATTCAGAAGAGCTTTCTGGTTTTACTGTATCAAGTGTTGAAAAGAGAGGGACTGGGGATGACTCGGGACAGACAAAAACGCTCGGAGCTGCTCGGTTTCTTCGACTTCGACTATTGTTTTGTATCTCGAGGAGCTGATCGGAGACGAACCCCTCGACATTGAGGTGGGGTCAAAAAGCAATGGCATCTGTGGCGCCAAAGTGAGTCTGTATGGGTTTCCACACTCTGTTTAAAGACAGTATATACGTACTACCTGCCCCTTCTGGCCACGAACAGGGAGGTTCCAGGAGCACTAGTGGCTTGAGTAGTCGACCTGCTTGAGGTCGATTTGCTCCTGGATGGAAAGGTCTTTGGCACTGGCCAGTCTTCCAAGGCTGTTTTTGACACCCCACAGTCACAGCCTCAGGCCTCAGGATCGGACAGAGGGACAGAGTGTTTGTTTGCTTGTTTCTGCTCCAACTGATGCACTTCAGTACTGTTCCCTTTTGGTTCAGCTGGGTATCCCGAAGCGGGCGTGATCGAAGCATCTCTTGAATGCAGTGAGAAGCTGTCTTTCCTTTGGTTTTCCCTTGTTTCCTTTGTCCTTTTGTGAGACGGGGGATCTTCAAGCCGCAGCAGTTCATTTTCGCCATCAAGGCACCCGCGTGGGCACCGCGTCGGCACCGCACCTGCATCCGGGGCAGTCGTTGTTTCTCCGCCTCGCAGGTCCGGGATCTCCCCTTGGAGAGTCAATTGTTCTTCCGCTGGCGCCGCTTGGCGGCAGCTTGGCCCAGCTGTCGTCTGGGGACGATAGACTGAAGACTGAAAGTAACAGACATGAGCTTTGGAGTATGCAACAACTGGAACAAGTATATAGATTGGATAGGTGTTGGCCAAGCTATTGTCTGAGCATGTCTGAGCCATTTGAGCTCTGACCCTCTGCTGAAACACACCAGGTGACGCCTCGAGTGTGCTGCGCTGCGGAGCCGGGAAGCTCAGACGGGCCAGGTGGTCGGTCCCCCGACCTCAGCTGCTTAACGGGACTTCACTGGTTTGTCTGTGATTCACCCTTTTTGGGTCGGGAGTTGGACTTCAACAGGCTTTGATTGGGCAAAGCCTCAGGATTTACTGACCGGTTTTACCAGCCTAGTCGCTGTGCCATCGTCAACTCGACAATGGGTCATGGGTCATGGGTCAAGTGCACTTTGTTGTCCACCTGGCACGCCTGGCACACTGAACAGATCAAAGGGTCAATGAGTCTCTTCATGTCATTGATCTTGCTTATCATTTTTGATCATCTTTGTATGCTTTCTCACTTGCCTCCACAGTTCCGTTCTCCCAGTCTGTCTCCCCATGACTGAATGGCCCGACTATTTGATTTTGGCTCGTCTCCAACATGCCTCCCCATTTTGTATCTCAACTTGGATCGAGACGCCTTGCGAATGTCCGATCTCTCTATATAATTATATTATAGATCTATTTCGCATTGATTTGGTGTATCCACTTTTCTCATTTTGATGTTAGTTTGGGATTTGGCAAATTGGATACAACCCTGTGAAGGACCTGCCCAAAATGATTTGTCGACTACGTTGGAGAGTCTGACCATCAGCTTGGCTGCTGCTACGTTTTCTTGCTTTGAGGTTCGTAAGTCTTTACAAAGAAGAACCCTTTGGCGACTGACATTGACATGAGGTACTGCCCCTCTTCAACGACCGCGGGGTGCTACGGCAAGGCCCCTTTGGGCCCTTTCTGCTGGTTGGGCCAGATAAACAGGTTCTTTCTGAGATTCCATTCGCGGACAACGGAAAATGCTTGCGACACATTTGTTCTCAGAAAGACAACACACTCATCGGAACAAATTGTAGGATACCCACAAAATACATCAACATACTGAACTACATACCATTATAGATTATCCAACTAGAAGCTAGTAGTAACAAGTGCCTTACTACTAGTAACAAGAAGCTAGTAGAAACAATAATTAGACTAGATTATCCAACTAGAACCTACCAGTCAGAAGGCACATCCGACCTTCTCAGGGCAACGACTGGTAGCTCTGATGCCGGAGGCGGGAGACGCTGCAAACACACCTGCACTACCCGCTGTACAGATCTTCAGATTCGAGAAGCAGGGTACAGGTGGGGTAACCAGCCCCGAACAGGGTAGCTGAGGCCTGAAGGTGAGAGAGTCTGTCCACTATTTTGAGTCAACATGTTGTTGCCCACATAACATGCAGGACAGTGAGCGTGGTGAGCTCAGAACATGTTTGCCGTGCGACCCATGCTTCCACCTGGCCCGAGACAAACTATGACACAGTTCCTGGTGACAGCCACATTGGCAGAGAAGAATTGTTTGTGTATATTCTAGGCCTTTTGCCTGGACACGTTCTGGTTTCCAAGGAGCTGGAGCAGATTCCAACGAGGCAGCCATTGGCGATTTGCCGCACGTTTTTGCGGCCTGTTCCGAGAAAGGACCCGGGTCTTCACTCGTTGATTTGACATCAGAACACGGTTCCAGGCGGCTGTTGCCTGGGTACAAGCTGGGGACCCGCAGAGACGTTAGACCCGTTAGACTCCGCTACACTCCTTTAGACGGAACGAAGGGAGACTTTGCGATCACCGGACCCAAGACGGTTTCTTTGCTACTAGTGACAAGTGCATCGCTACTAGCAAAAATGCATTACTACTAGTAGCAAGACGCTAGTAACAAGAGCTCCCATAGCATCCTGGCAAGAAGACCCTTGCTTCTTCCTGCCTGCAGCCTTGACTGGCTTGAGCTTGATCAATGCAGGAACTGTTTTGGTTCAATAAGGCCTAGATGCCTGGATTGACATAGGGCGGTACCAGCAACAGATCAGCCATGGCCAGCCCATTCTTGATGGATTTGTCTCTCCCGGGCATGCCGGGAAGATATCAGCTTTATATCAGTCAGCTCTCAGCACTTCCAGTGAACTCGAGAGGTCGATCCTGGATGGTCCAGAAACAAATCCCTCTAGACCCTCTAGACCAAATGCAGGGAGCTTGAGTGGTCTTGTGCATAATGGCTCTTTGCTAAGGCGAAACGGCTCTTCGCTTTGCCGATCAGGAGGAACAGAATATGAAGATCATTCCCAGGAACTGTGTGTCGACCATTACCATTCGTGACTCGGCGATGCACTTTTGCATTCAAGAACTTTGGGTGTCTAGCAGCTTTGATCCACTCAAAAAGTGGTCTCCCAAAAAAGCAGATAGAAACGGTTTCTAATACATTTTTTAGTGGGGATTTACTTTTTTTCAATCTATTTTGGGGGGTCTGTATACACTTACACACATGGCGGGTGGGTCAAAACCGGGAGAGCGACCGGTTGAACCGAATGGACGACCTACAAGGTGGTCAACCTACCGAGGTGGTCAAGGGCAACGCTCGAGGTTACGAGTTCTACGCATCCCTGGCTCATATAAACAGGTGTGGTAGGAGTAGGAACCTAACAGCTATCTACCGGATAGCAATGTTTGAACAAATCTAACGCAGACTGTGTACACGCGGTATCTCGCATGGAACACAAACTAATTAGTGTGAATTCGTGTTTGGGGCTCCGAGTTTTGACCCACAGCCAAATCATGGATCATGATCTTTGGTCCAGTTTCCCCAAGCTGCTTCTTTGCAAAGATTAGTTTCCCCAAGCTGCTTTTTGCAAAGATTTGCAAGCTTGCTTCCCCCTGGTTAACCATTGGTCAAAAGGTGAACTCAGCTTGTTGAGCTCACTAACTTTCTGCCAGGTGACACCGACAGAACTTTCTCGACCACTGACATGCCCAAAGCTCTGGCTTGCACTGGTGTCGGTGGTGTTGTCTCTGGCTTGCTGGTTCCTTGCTGCAAAGCATCGCAACAGCGACGCAGCGTCGCAAACGTAGAAATCTGCATGTCAACAGGCACACACGGACAGAAGTCAAATGACGGCAGTTCAAGTGAATAGGCTGCTTCCTCACTTACTCCACCGCGGAAGGATGGGTATCCAAGGCCCGGCGCTCCATGTATGGCATCATTCACAGCAGCTGGGATGAAATACAGCAAGCTGTCCCCTCAAGTTTCCGCAGTAGTCATGAATGAACCGAACTTGTTTCTTAACAAGTGCCTTACTAGTAGTAACAAGTGCCACGCTACTAGGAGCAAGTGCCTTACTAGTAGTAACAAGAAGCTACTAGTAACAAGTGCCTTACTTTTTAAATGTTTCTTAAAATGGTCATCCTCCTGTGTCCGTCGATGTAGGGTCTATGGAACCTGCTTTTTCCACATGTTCTCAGAGCCTGAGCACGGTGGGTTGGTCCTGTTTCCTTTCACCGGAGGCGACTGACTTGAACATTGGCATTCCGCACACATTCCTTTTCATATTGGCATTAGGTACGGGCTGTTCAACAAGTTGGCCTTGATTTTTGAAGCACAGACTTTACTCAATGGCATCAGGCCTGCCATACTTTAGGACGACACCTTTCTTCGTTCATGGTGCCCGGTGAAGCCGAGCACAAGGTAAAGGTGGCCTTGACCTTTTTGGCGTGGTCGGTGGCTGCTTTGGAATGTGCGCTCCGCTTTGTGTTCGATTGTTTTAACGAAGCCTTTTCTGTCCTTTTCAGTGCTGCATGTTGCTTCCGATAATGAGGGCTTGCTCATAATTGTGCAAACGCATTTGTCAAGCGGCGGGTTTGCGCGATGGTTCCTATGACACAGGTACTTTGGATGGAAGTTTGGCCATTGGGCCACCTGGCGGACATGCAACAGACTATTTGGTCCTTTCCACCAGAGTCTTCAGTGACCCCGCTTTCTTTCAGAACTCAAGGGAATGTCTGATTGGAGTGGTGTCAGAAAGATGGAAAGAGATGATTGTTGTCATCGGATCGTCTCCCGGGAGAAATCTTGGTGGAAGATTTCTCCCCCCTTGGAAGACGATTTTCCTCTACCACCCACTGCATGGATCTAGCTGCCCCATCTAAGCCCTTTACTCCGTCGGGTGTTAGGTGAGAAATGACAAAGGAATCGAACCTCAAGAGAATAATAGATTAATCCAGAGGCACACTAGTAAACAACGAATTCAGGTGAAGCGAAGAATTTACTGTGAAGCTGTAACTGGCCGCTCACAGAGTTGCACAATTGTGTCGACAGGAACCTTATTTTTGCGACTAGTTTTTGCACTTTGTTCTAAAAAGATCGACTCTTACCGGAATCAAAGTCTAGCAACAAACATTCTCTTCAAAGTTGGGCAACATTTTTGTCTGATAGGGCAAGGACAAATTTGGAGGGTCCGGCTGCCGGCTGCGCCAGTGCGATGATTTTTCCTCTACAAAGTCGGGGTTTGCATTTTTTGTTTATTGGATAGAGGGTATCCTTTTGGACCAAAACCGAGCTAAGTGCACTGGAGCCAAGGCCTTTCGAAAGCAGCACACTGTGGATGGCTCCTTGGTCCAGCTGCATACCGCAGGAGATGTCACCGGCTTCAACTGCAGCGATTTGAAGGCTCAGGAGCTTGTCCGCTTGCTGCTATGAGGAGAAAATGAAGAAACCCATGCATGCGTTTGTACTAAAACCTGAGTGACCCCTGTAGTTTCCAAACCGGGCTCAGATGGGTCTAGGCATGCGTCATGCGTACAGTTGTAACCAAAAGTAGGGAATGTACGGAGTATGTATTCTTTCAGACATGTTGGCTGCAAAACGCCATACGTGTCCGCTTGGCTTGGCTGTGCTGGCAAGCACAAAAGGCTCACCAGCCAGTCGCAGGCATGTCTCACGATAGCCAGCGGCAATTGGTTCACACCATGGGACAAAGTGGCCATGGGAATGATGCCTCAGCGCAAGGTAAAACCATAGAATCTCATCTCCGCAAGTTAAGGCTTGTGAATCAAAGGACCCACACACTCTGTGAAATTGCTTGGCTCTCGCTCCTTTTGCACCATGAAGCCTCCCTCAGTGGGACACCCGATCTCCCCATCTGCAGCTCTGAGGCCACTGGTGCACCTGGCGCCAACCAAGCTGCCCAGGAACTGGCCGAGGCTGGAGGTTCTGATCCCTCCAGATCCGGCTTATGGTCACATGGTGGCCCATTCCCCAAGCTTTGTCCAAAATCCAGGCACCCCGTCGAAACGAAGTGCAGTCCATCACACGAGTCCGCGCTGCGTGTCAACCGACTGCTGCAGGCCTTGCGCTTGGCGGAGCTTCTGGAGTTGAAGCGCCGTGGTGCGGGCGCTTGGCCTCCAAGGGCATTTGAGGGATCCACCGGTCGGCCTGGTGGTTTGTGGTTCTGAGATGTTCCGAGTGTAGTTAGGCGTTCCAAGGTGAACAGGTCTAGGTGCTGGAGCAAAACAGCACCCCTTCGTCGCTTTGCACTCGAGTCAGAATCCGGCTTTTTGCAGCCATTGATTCACTGCATGTGGCGAATGGAATTGTTCGCACTGTTTGAATCAAGTTAACATTTCTGCTAGTTTCTGTTAGCGCACTTGTGTTTGGATCATTTGAGTCAAGCTGTCCATGTCTCAAATGATTGAATGTGCACTCCAATGCCACTCTCAAGGTTGCATCCCAGAAACCTTGGTCGAGAGCGAGGAAAGCTTTGCAGGTGCTCTGCGGGACGGGACATTTTGTGTCTTGTTTTGCATGGCTTCAATTCCAAGAGGCGTTTAACTGGCAGCTACCTTCCATAGCGAGCGGCTTTCACGACGCACATGTTGTTCCTTGAGTGCCCCTCCCCAGCTGAGAAATACTTCTGTTTCATACCATAACAAAGTACTTTAGTTTGTAGAAGTGTTTGTAGCACAATTGCTCGCCGTGGCAGGCACTGTGCAGCTTACGCTAGAAAAAAGTGGCCTCCCCTGGTCCAGATCCTCAGACAGCTCGAATGCCGGGACAATGTAAGATGCAATCATTCGCATCATTACTGTAATCATTTTTGTGGTCAGCAAAAAGACCAGGTGTGGGACGCGCATCCGAGGCTTAGCTTGCAGTTACCTGAATTGCCGCATCCAGTGGTCTTTGCGGAGTAGGGAAGCTGAGGGGCAGGGAGGTCAGTGCCGGAAATATCCAGAAATGTTTACATCACTCATCAACTGCGATAGGAAGATCAACCACATGACAACCTTTGGAATTATTGTAATCCCAAGTTAGGATTTGACTGAATCCTCGGAATTCCCTATTCTTGTCCTGTTGCCTTTCAAAAGGTCGCAGTATGGTCAAGATCTAGAGCTTCCACTCGGAGTCCTCGCAGCTTCGAGGGCTCAGGAGAGTCTGTTTGCACATGCGGTGGCGCCATTGATTATATATATATATATATATGAGTTGGATGGCGGAACAGTACACCTCATTGGTAAGAGGGAATGATGAAGAACCGCATGTTGGACAGGAAGATTGATGGGTTTTTGAACACATCTGTGGAGCAACGACGCTGACTGGCTGACTGACCGACCGACCGACTGACCGACGGACGGACGGACCGACTGACTGACCGACTGACTGACTGACTGACTGACGCAACGTTTCATTCATGACGAGTCGGGCTCGGCTCGTGAGGAGGTTGAGAAGAAAGACCTCGACGCCTTGAGGAGCGTGGGGTGGTTGTCGGGAGACTCGGTGCTGCTGGTTCGATTGGAGCCAAGGTGCGGGCTTGACTGACCCAATGTTTTGCTTGCTGTTTTGGACATTTTGTGAAGGTTTCATGTTCATTTCTCATGAACTCCTAGCTGCTTGAAATTGTATATATTTAAGAAAGTTATGTTAAACGACTTTAATATGACATTATATACTTGCCCATCAACTACATCGTGAAAACTCCGGCTCAGATCGCAAGGACAACTTTGGCATACTTACTTTGGAAAGCCCCTTTGTCAACCACCACTTGGGAACTGAGGGCAGAATCGGCGTATACCTTGGTCATGTTATCTTTCAGAAGCTGGGATCAACTATCGAGGTTGAAGCCGATTCCCACAGCCGGGTGGATGGCTCAGATGCCGCCATTTTGATTTTGTGCACATGTTTTTGGATCTTTGTCCGATTCGACCAATGACCATTTTGTGCACTACCAGTCAGATGTAGATGATGGAAGGGAAACCATACCGCCACAGTGAGTCCAGTGACTGGAGACACGAGATGACACGAGCCTTCAAGTGTCCAACCTAGACTTTTCCAACACCTGACATGCAACGAACAAAGGGAGCGTCAATGTCAAGGCCAAAGCGAGATGTTGAAGAAACTATATAGCTGCAAATGTGTGACCATGGGGCCACTAGTAACAAGTGCATCGCTTCTAGTAACAAGTGCCTTACTACTAGTAACAAGAAGCTAGTAGGAACACGTGCCTTACTAGTAGTAACAAGTGCCTTACTAGTAGTAACAAGAAGCTGAGATTTGGCTGATTTTGCTCGAGGTCAGCTCCTTCAGGATCGGCCAGTGTCTTCACTTTGGCCGTGCAGAGTGGTTGATTTATGTTGATTTGGCCCTAGCACTCGTGAAGTCTTTCAATGCGCCAAGTGGGTCTTGTGCTGACAACCCTTAATCTTCACAGAGTTCCAGCCGGGTTGCTCATGTTGGAGCTTAGGAATGGTGGCACGTCCCTCAATAGATCATGAAGTCCTTTATGGAGTGCGTGGCTAAAACTATTTTCTTCGAAGTGGTGCGGCCCCGCACCTCAGCATTCGTACATCTGACAGGACGTAGCTTCAAATGCTTTGTAGACGAGGTGGGGTGTCAAAGTGCAACACGGCCATCAAGTCAGTCAGCAAGCTATGAATACAAAAACATATACAAATCGACATGTCGTTTTTTGATTTTTCGACATTAAATCATTGGGTTCTAAGGTGGTCAAGACACGTTGAAACCGTTTATCGGTAGCAACGCCTTCCGGATTTCGTTCAACGGCCATCTTCGAAGACCATCGGAGACGACCCCTCGCCTTGAGGGAGCCTTGGTGGAGCATCCAGCCGTCTTAAAGCAATGGCGCCTTGGACGGGGGCACTCCCGAGCCATGGTGAAGGACAGTTGGGCGGTCTGTCACGGTCTGTCTGAATGGGGGAGACCTTCAGCCACTGGGCGTCTGGTGCGTGTGGGGTCCGTTTGGAGAGGCACTGCGACGGGCTTTGTGGGGGGAGGCTTTCTTTGTGGGGGGGAGGCTTTATCCAGTCTTGCGCACGTGTCATGTTGTTCTCAATCGTACATCGGGTGTGGAGGGTTGCTTGGGTCGTGTGGTGACGGTCCCACCAGTATAGAAAACGCGCTGGGTGGGAAATTGAGCAAAAGAATTGGAAGAGACTGCGGGGCGGAAGAGCAGAAAACAAGAAGCGGGCACTTTCCCCCTCTGTTGCATGACAAGTTGTGGTGATGAGACGCCTCGAGTGGCATTCGGGCTAGACCTAGGCTAGCGGCTAGACCTAGACCGACCTTTGTGATGAGGACGCTACTAGGGGCTCCTGGCCGTACTAGGAGCAAAGAAGCTACTAGGGGCTCCTGGCATCGCTACTAGGAGCAAGGACGCTACTAGGAACAAAGGGTATCGCGTTCGGTTTCTAAGCAATCAATATTGACTTTCTTCCATTCTGAGAGGACCGGGATGCCCGACCTAGCGCTGACGAGCTTCGACGGCTGGTGATAGACCCAGACCTGCCAGAGAGTACATGATTGTACATGGTCATCAATGACCCTTTGAATGTGTATGTATGTATATCGTATATACATAGTTATATTCTATACCGTGTATGATAAATTTGTATTTGTATACTGTAATAACTTTAATCTATAGTTATATTATGATATTATATGATTATATAACTACAGTATATGTATTTGTATATGATACCATATAACTATATATATATATATATTATAGTCATATTCTAATTTCCTCACGGACTCCAAGGCTGAGCTTGTACGCAGGCCGCGGCGCCACCTGAGTTGGGCCTTCAAGGGGCACACTTGTGGGTGTCGTGGTTTCGTATGTCGGGAGGTTAACAAGCCAGGAGCCCCGAACGTAGCGTCCTAGCTCCTAGTAGCGATGCCCTTTTCTCCTAGTAGGGTCCTTGTTCCTAGTAGTAAGGCCAGGAGCCGCTAGTAGCGTCCTTGCTGCTACTAGTTCATGTACTTCTTGTTTTTCTGGTCGGATCCGTTGTTTGCATTTGCATGTTTTTTGAGTTGCCAACTCCGCAGAATTATTTGCAGCAGCAGTAGTAGAGAGGTCGAGGTCATTGTGATTGCCAAACTTTAAGGACACGTGTTGGCCAATGCATGCTAATGTCAATGCGGATTGGTCAACTGGATCGTTTTCTTCTTTCTGTGCTGCTTGAGGTCCAACAAGGGAAAGACCCAACAGACCTAACCGGACCCTTCGTGCATCCCACCTCACACCTTTCACACCTTGGGGCTCTCGCCGAAGCAGCGTGTCTCCCGAGGCTCCGAGGAGAAGGACCTCCTCTTCCGCTTCCGGTGGAGTCTCACAGCTGCATGGCAGCAAGTCCGATGTTCTTTTTGGGGCCCGGCCCGGTGAAGATCGATTGAAGGGTGAGATTTGCATCAATGTTTCCAATCAATCGATCACTTTGTGTGGATTTGAAGGTTGCCTGATCTTCTGACACGACTTACTCTTTGAGCTCATGGACACGTCACTGCGCTTTTTCATGAGCCATCGTTGCCCCGAGGATCAGCCGGGTGCGCTCACCAAGTTTTTGCATGCAGTGGATTGGCGAGACATGGAGGAGACGTTGTGGCAAGTCCAACTGAACGGAAGATTTCACGCTGACTGTCCAACGGTGCTGAGTGTCCAACGGTGTTCCGGGCAAGTCCTTTATCAACTTTGTTTTTGGAATGCGAGAGTCGTCAATGAACACGATTCAATGGTGTGGTGTCACTTGCCGCACCTCGAGAAACACTTGAAACTAGCTATTCTAGTGTCCGCCATGTTCACCAAGGAAAGTTATGGGGCCACATGCTCCGTTAAGAGTCAAAGTGAGATTTGAACACCTCCACCTGGTGCAGGAGCGAAGCCAGGCGATTGAGCTCTTGGGCTTGGTGGCCAAAGGGGGGAAGCGATGGAGATCCATCCAACATTTGTGTGTACAGCGCGATTGGGAACTCAAGGATCACAATGCCCTTAGCCCTCGATGTTTGTTTGAATCCTCACCCATACACCTGCAGTGCAGGTTCTTGAGTTCTTGTAGCATTTTGGCCACCGTTTGGTGGGTACCGGGTGTCCTTCTTCAATGAGATCAGCCATCCATTGGACTATGGAAGTTGCAGGAGTCACCCCAAAGATGGCGACATGTGAGCTGAAGTCAGGGTCAAGGGCCCAATCCTCAAACCACAAGAGTTCTGTGGAAGCAAGAAGGTCTACAGTAATCACATTTGATCTAATCGGTGACAACACCATCAAGCAATGTCCTTGCGTTCCATCCAAGTAGGAGGCAGTCAGACGAAAAGAGAACTTCGGCTTCATTGACCGGACGTGTTCTGCTTCCAAATTCACGACTCAGCTGGTTTGATGGTTTGTTTCCCATTCATTAAGACCCTTGGTCGTGCTCAAGGACACTGGAGCCCAGTAGAGATTGAGGACGCGCTTGAACTCCTTAGCAAGGACAGGGTCTACCAAGTCGATGATTGCAATGTACAGAGATGTGGGTTGACGTTAACAATTTTTAGGTCATTCCAGGCTATTGCACGCGCTTGTGGCAATCACGCAAAAGATCAAGTGCTTGCCTTTGCCTTTCGAGCTTTGGCTTGGGCAATTCCAGCGCAAATATCCAGCCGCGCATGTTTGGAAATCTGTGCATCAAACCATTCTAGTACTGCACCAAGACTGACAATTGTACATCTCAACAGAGAATGTTTAAGATCGTTCACTCTTTTGCACAAAAGAACCATGCTTGGATTGTTGAGTCGTAGAATCTACCACACCTTTGAATGCCGCCCCCGCCCTTTGATGCAGCACTGGTCACACCCGATGCCGTGGTGGAGGCGTATCAGCGACTGCGACCTCACGTGCATCGCACGAGGGTCTTTACGTGTGAACAGCTGGATGAACGAGCAGCTCATGGGGCCAAGAGGAGGCTCTATTTCAAGGCACCTCGGTGGGGTTGTTGTGTTTGTTTTATTGATTTGGTGTGTTCTCGTCGTTTTGCTTTTCTGCCAATAGCCTGGTTAACATGTTGTTCCCAGATCAATTGGTGCCTCTCAGTTTCCCTGAAAGTAAGAATCTAGGAATCAAATCATTTGTGCAAGCGTGAGCTATCCTTGCTGGTAGCTAGAAGCGAACTTATCCTAGTAGCTTACCTCTCACTTACTTATATAATTAAGTAGGCACCTACTTATATTAATGACAAAATAGTAAAAAACAACACATCAATTCACTACTCAGATATCTCTTGAGGCAGAGCATGAGCAAAAGATTGGTGCCTTCAAAATTCGTGGTGCCATCAATGCGATCAGCCTTTCCTCGGCCGATCACATTGTAACGCAGTCCAGTGGCAACCATGCGCAGGCGATTGCGCTGGGATGCAAGCTTTTAGGCAAGAAGGCTGTGGTCGTGATGCCGGAGGATTCCCCAGGCGTGAAAGTCAGCGCGGTGCGGGACACCTACGGTGCAGAGGTGCGCTTCTGCCAGCCCACGCAGGAGGCGCGCGAGGCCATGTCTGCGGAGCTGGTGCAGGCGCTGCGCGCCCAGTTCGGGGAGGACCAAGCGGAGGAGATCCATCCGAATCAGGACGTGCGAGTGGTGAACGGGCAGGGCTCCGTAGGATTAGAGCTTTTGGAGCAAGAACCGAATTTGGATGCGATTGTGGTCTCCATCGGTGGAGGTGGCTTAATCTCTGGAGTGGCGACCTATGTGAAATCGGTCAACAGTAAGATTAAAATCATTGGTGCGGAGCCTGAGTGTGCCAAGAGTGCCTTTATGTCCAAAAAGGCTGGTGAGTTAGTCAAGAATCCGCCCAATACCGTGATCAACACCATTGCAGACTCAGTGAAGAGCAGCCTGGGTCCAACGACATATCCCGTGGTGCGCGACTTAGTGGATGATGTCTTCACTGCTACGGAGCAGGAGATTGAAGATGCCACGAGATTGATGATGGAACGAGGGAAGCAGGTCATCGAACCGGGATGTGGACTTGCTGTGGCAGTGGCCACCTCCTCACAGCTCTATGAGAAGTATCCAGAACTCCGGAACGTGGCAGTTGTGCTTTGTGGTGGCAATGTGGACTTGGACCACTTGCCGTGGACACATCGCAAGAGGAAGGCGGACGAGATGGGCAGCACTTGAGCCAGCGTTTGGACTGGACGGCGAGATGGCTTTGTGGAGAAAAGATGAGTAGGAGCAAGACACTCTTTATTCACACCTTCCTGGTGTCCACACCCCCGCGCACGTTTGTTGGGCAGTGAATATATGGGAGGTGTGGATAAATCGTGACTTCAACAGTTAGGGTGACTTGAGATGAGCCAAGGATGTTGAGTATGCCAGAAATGCGGAGTATGGCATGTAGCAACGTTGGTCACATGAACCTTTGTTGGCCGTGCCAGTGGTGTGCCTCTCAGTTGCTGCATTGCAGGACTTTCAGGGACTTCGGGAAGTGCGACGCCATGCTGTGCTTGGAATCCTAGGTGAGGCCACAGCGGCTGCCACGCAGCGGGTGGGGGTCGTTTGCAGTGTGCCGTTGGGGGTGGTTCTTTTCTTATGTTTGGTATGAGGTCCTCTGGGACACCATAATGGGGACCCTGCACAACACACACACTCTCAAGATATTGCGTTCTGACTCGATTGCGGTTTGCCACACGCCTGCCTAAGTGAAAAAACCTAAGGAACCAGGACAAGTGGTCTAAACATCTTCCAAACCTCAAGGCCTCCAACTCCACTGTTGAGCATCTCAACCAAAGCGCCAACTGCGTGGCTGCCGAGTACATAACCGAAGCAAAGGTTGGAGTTTTTGTTCTAGCTAAAAGCACAAACCAACAACTTAGGACCCACCAGCTGCACTTAGATAAACAACTTCAAAGGAAGCCCTATGATTCCAAGGGTTTCACACACACACACATTCAATATAGTATATATATATATATACATACATGCATTGGATTTGATTGCTCCAAGCCCTGAAGAGTGGCCTTGGGATTGAAAGAAATCAGGCATATGGTGTGCAAAGTGGTCCGACCATCTCAAAAAATTACCATGTAAACATAAAGGTTCCAAGGTTCCAAAAGTTTCAAGCTCCAAAAGGCTGGAAGGCTTGTCCTCGCTACAAACAGGGTCCAGTGGGAAGTGAGAGGTAAAACGCAGGTACGCAGTGTCCTCCACTGTATCAGCACCAACTGATACCCTTCGTTGGACTCTTCGTTGGACGGAGTGTCCCATCCCCCTGCTTTAAGGCCTATAAAGGCTCCCTTTGATTCCAACTGTTAGGACCTCCAAAGCTGGTGTTCCTCCTGGTGTTGTATTCAGGCTGCTTCGTGACGCCCGTACCATTTAGCTCTGAGAGGCAGCACACGTTGCACAAGGACAACATTGAACACCCCTGCGTAGTACCGTTCATCCACTGTGTAGTACCGTTCACATGTCGATCACTCATATTGTATTAGGTTGCTGTAATATAACTATTTATGGACTCCGTTGAAACTGTACATACTTTTGGGGTCTCAACCAAACGATGCCTGCAAACTTTTCTATATCAACATACTTCATTCATCCACTACATGCTACCGTTCATGTGTAGGTCTCATCTCCATCATGCGTGCTGTGAAGTTTGCTGTGCACCTTTAAGCCGTACATTTTTCAGGGGGTCCAGCAAATGCTTTATTTCCCGTATATGTATATATATATATATACACATACTTTTTCTTTTATTGGTCCACTGGACTGTACCGTTGTTTTGTCGATCATGCATACTGTATAGCATATTGCAACCCTTCACTTCCAGCTCTTAAGTTGATCATGCTCATTGTATAGTTTTGTTTATATCGTTCAAGTTTTACCAAATGTCTCATTATTGCATCACTTGCATCACCAAGCGCATTAGAGGCAAACACACGATTCATTTCAACACTTTTGGACATTTCTCACTGCAAGCATACCACTTCATGTCCTGTCTCAGATCCTTGGCAGACCACCTCCACGTCAAAGGTTGCAAAGCCTTGCCTTTTCCCCGTGTTTTTGCATGTTTTCTTCCTCTGTCAGTGTTTGCACCCGAACTCATATACGCCCTTCAGCACCTCCGGTGCAGGTAGAATTTTGGTTGATTCCTCGACTGAGGCAGAGACTGGAAAGTGCCAGTGACATGGACTTACAACTGTACCTTCTGCAGCTGGTGCAGGAGGGATGGGAGCGGAGCTGACGTTCATTGGAGTGAGACATGAACACATCCCTTGAGATGTAGTAGTTGTACGTGGGTGTATTTTTCTCAGCATGCCTACGGTGAGATATCCTATTCATCGCCTGTATAGTTCGTGCTCACAATGGAAGACTCTCAACAATTCCGAAGGTTTGCAGGCAAGTTTCTTCTTTTTTAAAGCAGTGAATTAATCACATCCCGGTTTCTTGGCTTTATGCCATCAACTGCTGTGCTATCCTGAAAAACTGAACAGCTGTATCCTGTAAGCAAATCTTGGTACATCCCGCAGGCGCTCCGCTATGAGCATGACTCGGAGGCGCAGTTTTCAGCAGGTGTATCGCTCCGCTAGCTCTTGTAGAGGTGAAGTAAACAAACCCAATGCAGGCTTTGAAACATGACCACAGTAGCCAAAGGCAATAAACCCACAGAAGGAAAAAAACACTTTATGTGAGGGCTGTCGTTGTGAAGTTTTCATGACTTCAATTCAATCACTTCCGACCGATTCCCCCAGAAAACGCAGGTCAAGTTGGCTGCAAGGTTGTAGCATATAGAGTAGTATATAGATAATGAAGGATAATGATACGAACATATATACGGTAGTTGAACAGTTGGATATTAGCTGGTCAGCATCAGGCGGAAGCGGGCAATGAGGCTTGGGTGGCGAGCCGACGACAACAGGGATCCTGCTGGGTTGGGCTGATAGAGACAGATAGCACTGGAGATTGTGGCCAAAATGGTCGAAGCAAGCAGGTCCAGTTTTTTGAGTAGCTATTCAGCAGTTGGTACGGTTTGGTCCATTTTGGAAGCCCTGGATGCCGTTGTGTTCTTGAATGCCTTTCTTCGAGAACAGATGTTCACCATGCTTTCCAAGACGTTTGATCCATCGCTCCATGCCCACAGGCACTTGCTGGGCAAGGGCCACCCAGAAACTGGACTGCTTCGAATCCTGCTTGAAACTCACCAGGATTGGAAGTGTGATCCGAGACCTTGTGGTTTGGTTTGCGCTCCAAACCCAGTGGCTCAACGGGAGACCGACCAGGTGGGTTGGAGTCGAATCCCAGGTGTGCAGTGATGTGCGGAGCGGTTGAGCGGTTGGAGCCAAGCATTTAGGGCGTCTCGATGGCGGCTGAGGTTTCTCATCCGAAGGGCGGTGAAATGTACCCCCTTGGCAACGCTGCTGTACTGGTACCTTGCAGCCGGAGTCCCAAACGAATGCCGAAAATATGATTTGTGAAAAGACGCAGATGAGAGGACCCACTTCAAGGCAAGAGTCTGGAAAGAGGTGTACAACATCCAATTTATGATTGTACTTCAAATCATAACTTGGATTTCCTTGCGGTTCGACTCTACTTAAAAGTACTCAGCTGTGCATAGCTGTGCTGGTTTCCTTTCCAGGCTGAGATCGATGAGGGTGAGTCTGGTGGCCTATTCGATATGGTCAGCGGCTCAGTGGGGAAAGTCACGGAAGATCAGGAGCCGCCTGGTTGAGTTTCAAGTTTTCATGTGCCACCAAGCTGAGCATCCTGAACATCTAAGCTTAGCTGCATGGTGCACGAGGAGTGTGTAGTGCTTGGTACACTAGGTCAACAAAGTCCTGGTTGTTTGAACCAATTGTGTCATCTGCAAGGGCTCACAAAAGAGATACCCTGGCAATCTGGCTTCTTCCCGCTCGTTGAAATGTTGAGAACAGCAGGTTCGGCGACAGCTGTTGGAGGCTTTATCCAGCGAGGATCAGCATTTGCTTCAGCAGCAGGCATCCGCTGTTCAATCTCAGCAGCACCGAATCTCTTGGATGACGGCTTTGGTGCTTACTTGACGGCTCTTGACGACCCCTGCGATCCTTGACACGTCTCCATTTAGTGTAGTGTAGCCCTGGCTTTAGGATTCTCATGGATACCCTAGCATCCTTTTGACTCAACATGATACTGGTCACTGGTCTGTCTCAATCAACCTATCATACCTATTGGCCTAGACAGGGACGTCTCAACAGACCACTAGGATTTATATAACTTTCATAGACTTTCATGGTCAGGTCGCAGGAGCGACGGTATTCGGAATCAGACACGCCAGCTGCTCCTGAGTAGCTGGAGTAGTCGAGACACAGAGAGAGAGAGAGAGAGTGAGAGTGAGAGTGAGAGTGAGAGTGAGAGTGAGAGTGAGAGTGAGTGTGGCTGGAGTCACTGATTCCAAAACGATCTCGGGATTTTGGAGTGTCAATAGGGCGGGGCTAATGTCAGTATTTATACAATGTCTTTTTGTGTTTGAGTTTCTGAGCAACCGCGACTCAAGGCAGCACATTGAATCTCGCAACGCAGGTCTTGCTGCGAAAGACACTCCTGTGGAGTTTGCGGCATGCAAAGGCAGCTGGTGGTGTGGCGGTAGCGATGGCGGCGCTTGTGATCTGGCTCAATAGGCGCGTCGAGATGCGGTGGAGGTGTGGTGAAAGGGGGTGGCAATACTATCAGCCAGTCTGGCATACTGGTGCTTCAGATATCGAAGGATCGCTACGGCATTTTTGTGGAAATGATACCTGAGGCCAAGCGTGATTGGACCGACAAGAAGGCCGTGTTCGTTTTGGGCAGAGGGCGCTTGAAAAAGAGATTGTTTTTTCAAAGAGCGGTTTGTAAGCTGAGGAACATGTTGGTCGTTGCACGCCACACCGGACAACCCAAAAAGAATGAGAAGACCTGCAACTACATCAGGGCGCAGGAAAACTTACTGTATCTACTCAAGGACTTCAGAATGATCAAGTAAGAACAAGGTTCGCTACTAGGGGCTCCTGGCATCGCTACTAGGAGCAAGGACGCTACTAGGGGCTCCTGGCCTTACTACTAGGAGCAAGAAGCTATTAGAAACAAAAGTCCTTGCAAGAAATAGAGTCTCCAATCCTTCAGTTCTCTCCTTCACCGCCAGATCGAACGTTTCCGGCAAGCGCTGGTTT